TTACCTCTTTTATTGTTTCTCTTGCTGAGAGAAAACTTTTCAGTTTAAGTAAGTCCCATTTGTTGATTCTTGTTATCAACTTTTGTGCTATGGGTGTCCTATTAAGGAATTTGGAGCCCAACCCTACAATATGTAGATCCAAGCCAACTTTTTCTTCTATCAGACGCAGAGTCTCTGATTTGATATCTAGCTCCTTGATCCACTTTGAGTTAACTTTTGTGCATGGCGAGAGGAGGGGATTCAGTTTCATTTTGTTGCATATGGATTTCCAGTTTTCCCAGCACCATTTGTTGAAGATGCTATCCTCCCTCCATTGCATGCTTTTAGCCCCTTTATCAAATATAAGATAGTTGTAGCTTTGTGGATTAGTCTCTGTGTCCTCTATTCTGTACCATTGGTCCACCCTCCTGTTTTGGTACCAGTACCATGCTGTTTTTGTTACTATTGCTCTGTAATATAGTTTTAAGTCTGGTATCGCTATACCGCCTGATTCGCACTTCCTGCTTAGAATTGCTTTTGCTATTCTGGGTCTTTTATTTTTCCATATGAATTTCATGACTGCTTTATCCATTTCTACAAGAAATGCCGTTGGGATTTTGATTGGCATTGCATTAAACCTATAGAGAACTTTTGGTAATATTGCCATTTTGATGATGTTAGTTCTGCCTATCCGTGAACAGGGTATATTTTTCCATCTTCTAAGATCTTCTTCTACTTCTCTTTTTAGGGTTTTGTAGTTTTCATTGTATAAATCTTTCACCTCTTTTGTTAGGTTGATTCCCAAGTATTTTATTTTTTTTGAGGATATTGTGAATGGAGTGTTTTTCCTCATTTCCGTTTCAGAAGTTTTGTCGCTGATATACAGGAATGCCTTTGATTTATGCGTGTTGATTTTATATCCTCCCACTTTGCTGAATTCATTTATTAGTTCTAGTAGTTTTTTTGTAGACCCTTTTGGGTCTTCTAGGTATAGAATCATGTCATCTGCAAATAGTGATAATTTAAGTTCTTCCTTTCCTATTTTTATGCCTTTAATTTCTTTCGTCAGTCTAATTGCTCTGGCCAGTGTTTCGAGAACTATATTGAATAGAAGTGGTGATAGAGGGCATCCCTGTCTTGTTCCAGATTTTAGGGGGAATGCCTTCAATTTTTCTCCATTGAGAATGATGCTAGCCTGAGGCTTAGCATAGATAGCTTTTACAATGTCGAGGTAAGTTCCTGTTATTCCTAGTTTTTCTAATGTTTTGAACATAAAGGGATGCTGTACTTTGTCGAATGCTTTTTCTGCGTCTATTGAGATGATCATATGGTTCTTATTTTTAAGTCTATTGATGTGGTGAATAACATTTATTGATTTCCGTATATTGAACCAGCCTTGCATCCCAGGGATGAATCCTACTTGATCATGGTGCACAATTTTTTTGATGTGCCTTTGTATCCGATTCGAAATGTGGCATTTATACACCATGGAGTATTACGCAGCACTAAAAAATGACAAAATCATAGAATTTGCAGGGAAATGGATGGCACTAGAGCAGATTATGCTTAGTGAAGCTAGCCAATCCCTAAAAACAAATACCAAATGTCTTCTTTGATATAATGAGAGCAACTAAGAACAGAGCAGGGAGGAAGAGCAGGAAGAAAAGATTAACATTAAACAGATACATGAGGTGGGAGGGAAAGGGAGAGAAAAGGGAAATTGCATGGTAATGGAGGTAGACCCTCATTGTTATACAAAATTACATATAAGAGGTTGTGAGGGGAATGGGAAAATAAACAAGGAGAGAAATGAATTACAGTGGATGGGGTAGAGAGAGAAGATGGGAGGGGAGGGAGGGGGGATGGTAGAGGATAGGAAAGGTAGCAGAATACAACAGTTACTAATAGGGCATTATGTAAAAATGTGGATGTGTAACCGATGTGATTCTGCAATCTGTATTTGGGGTAAAATTGGGAGTTCATAACCAACTTGAATCTAATGTATGAAATATGATATGTCAAGAGCTTTATAATGTTTTGAACAACCAATAAAAAAAATAAATTAAAAAAAATAAAGACATGAGTTGGCATGAACATACTTTATATACAAAGATATAAAAACTATGCTCTATGTGTGTAATAAGAATTGTAATGCATTCTGCTGTCGTGTATTTAAAAAAATAAAATCAATTAAATAAAAAAAAAAGAACAAATGTTAATTACTGCCAGAACTTGCAAACATTATAGAACTTTAGACAAGAATGGAGACAGAAGCAGTGGCCCTTTGTAGGAAATAAGGGATCAGTCATCTAACAGGAATCCTAACTTTATTTATTTTATTGATGCTTGGGACTGAATCCAGGACTCTACCACTGAGCTACATCCCCAGACCTTTTCATTTTATTTTGAGACAGGGCCAGTCTTAAGTTCACAAGGCTGGCCTTGAACTCATGATCCTCCTGCCTCTTCCTTCTGAGAAGCTGGGATTATAAGCATGTGCCATGATGTCCAGCTGAGTCTTAACTTTAGTCAGTGGTCTAACACCATCTTCCAAATGTAGATTGTTAATTTGGTGTTAGCTGTCATGTAAAGACAAGGAAGAAATGGGGGCTGGGGGATCTTCCCCTTTCACCATAATTCTTATAACATACTTTATAAAATGTTAGAGCCTGAGTGACCAACTCCTGTATCTCTAACTCAGTATCAAGCCACGTTTTTGCTGAAATAATAGGCAAACAACCTTTTAGAGCACTAGGTCATGTACTATTATGAAAAATCTGGTGTATTCCAAAATATCATGCCCATAATTTTCAAAATATGCTGTAGAAAATGTTGGTAATTTAATTATAGTTGAGGAAAAATAAGCAAGATCGGCCAGGCTCAGTGGTGCATGCCTGTAATCCCAGAGGCCCAGAAGGCTGAGGCAGGAGGATCTTGAGTTCAAAGCCAGCCTTGGCAACTTAGTGAGCCCTAAACAACTCAGGGAGACCCTGTTTCTAAATAAAATATTTAAAAAAAAAGATGTACTCTGTAGTTAAGTGTCCCTGGGTTCAATCCCTGGTACCAGAAGAAGAAGAAGAAGAAAGGCAAGATCAGAATGATGGGAAGAAAATGTGGATTTCTTCCCCTTTAAACCAGCAACTAAAAGGATATATACCACACCTAACCTAAAAATAATTTAATAATTTACCTACCTTAGGTATTGTAGAACACAGAGATGCCATTGTAGTCCACCCTTATCTTTCTTACAAGGAAACTTTCTTTTAAACATAACTTTATTTTTATTCATCCTGACATTATTGCCAAACTTTAGTGTCTCTGTTCATAAATTGCTTCCATATCAGTATTTTCCATGGTCTTGACTCAGCTTCTATAATTTTTTCTTAGTAACTGTTAGTTAATGTTTGACTCACATGCTTTAATTTGATATTAAGGGGAGTTTCATATTTTAAAGAATCCTTTTGCATCAGACTTTTGAAGACATATTTGTTTATCAAGACATTTATAAGATGCCCACTATATGCTAGAAATTGTGCCAGTTACTGAGAATACAGACATTGAAGAATGGTCTTAATCCAAACCAATCTTCTTTCCGATAACCAATATGGATATCTAATATCTCAAATCACAAGGATTTACTGTTTTTCCCTAAGAATTTCATAGCATTAGCCCTTACATTTAGGTATCTGATGTATTTTAGTTGATTTTTCTATGTGGTGTGAGGTAAAGTTCAAAGTTTATTGTTTTGCATGGATATCCAATTTCTCAACACCACTTATTGAAAACACTTATTCTTTCCCCATTGAGTTTTCTTGACTTCCTTGTTGATAAAGAATTTATTTCTAACACATTTAAAGCTGTTTCTCATAATCTGAGCTTTTGTTCTTTCTGCCTCTTTGACCTGGTAGAATGCTTCTGCATCCTACATTCCCTTGGTTAGCTAATTCTTCCCTTATTCTTTGAGGTTTAGTAGAAACCTGAGCTCTTTCAGTAAGTTTCCCTTATCAATCTACCACCACCAACACCACACACAATTTTTCCCAGGGCTGGCAGAGCAACTTCTTAGGCAATTATCTGCCTAGTACCTAGTAAGTAATCATTGAGTTAATACTAGGCACTCTGGAAAATAACTAAATAAAATAAGACCTGGTGGCATGGTGGCATATGCCTGCGATCCCAGCAACTCTGTGAGGCTGAGGCAGGAGGATAGCAAGTTGGAGGCCAGCCTCAGCAACTTAGCAAGACCTTGTCAAAAAAAAAAAAGGGGAAGAAGAAGAAAGGAGATGTATTCATTGGTAAAGCACCCCTAGGTTCAGTCCATAGTATAAGTAAATAAGACCCCAAAACACCCAATATTACTGTTAGTGAGAAAATGAACAATAATATAGTGGAGTAAGCTTATAGTAGGGATAAGCACAGAATGCTGAGAAAGCAGAGGATAGGGATTTAACCTAGTCTTCTAGGTTTTCATAGAAAGGGGCATCTGTATTGAAACCTGAAAAATCAATAGAAGATAACTAGGTGAAAAGAGACGAAGGTCAATAGGAAGGAAATAGCATTTGTTCATAGACTGCAACACATCTATGCTGGCTGACATATGGCTCTGGAACAAGTTTTATATGATGCTGAGGATCGAACCCAGGGTCTCACACGTGCGGGGCGAGCACTCTACTGCTGAGCCACAACCCCAGCCCCTGGAACAAGTTTCTTAATTTTGAATAATACTATCCCAAAGTGTACCTCCAGCTTTATACTCACCACCACATTGTAATTTTCATTGTACTTAACTCTCTTATGAGATTCTGACCTCTGTGGAGCAATTTTTCTTGTTTAGTGTTTTAACTGTTTCTATTCCTAGAGTATACCATATAGTAGGTGGCAATATAGACGTGATAAATGGATGAATAAACCTCAAAAACAAACTTGTTCCTCAATGCTCCGTTTTATTCTTCAGCATAGAATGTTTAGTATCTCTAAAATTTAACTAAAAATGGTCTTGAGTTAATTGTGTTTTTTTATAGGCATTTGTAAAGGATGTTCATGAAGATTCAATAACAGTTGCATTTGAAAACAAGTAAGTGTCTTAATATATAGTTTTAATGTTCAGATCATGTAATATTTTATGATGATTTCTCTGTTTGCTTTTTATCTTTAAAATTCAAGTCTAGTCTGAATGTTTTTCATATTACTGACCAAGAAGTTCCTGAACAACTGTTAAATCAGTGGGATGACTGTTCTTGTTAATGACTTAGGAGCTCCCTATCGTATAATCTTGATGCTTGATTTAGTCCCTTTGACTGAAAAAGAAACCAGAATCTTCTGTATTAGTAAATAGGAATATTTGTAATTTTTGTAAAAGATGAAAATGAAGGGATTTATGGATATTGGCCACAAAATCATCTGGGTTTTGTAACATTAAATCTAAAACTAATGTTTTTAGTTGGCTAGTATATTTTATCAGAAACAGTCATATTTACCATTACCTTCATATATTTATAATCAATAATAATAAGATCTTTTCTGCATTCTTTAGTTAGATCAGAAAATAAAGATATTTATCTGGAAATATTAGTTGTACTAAAGTATAGATGTTAACATTTTATTGGGGGAGACAAGTCTTTTGACACATTTTTTGAATACTAACAAAGGCTATTTTCATAGAAATTGTTCAATATACTGAAGTAGCTATAGGGGCTGGGGATATAGCTCAGTTGGTAGAGTACTTGCTTCACATGCATGAGGCCCTGGGTTCAATCCCCAGTACCAAAAAAAAAAAAAAAAAAAAGGAGTAGCTATAAACTAAAGTGTAAGTGGGGCCACAGTTTTGGGATTTTGCTGAATACTGATAAATGACCAACAGTTAGAAGTTTGGGTTTTTATGTACTAAGAGAAGTAATAGTATATCAAAAGCAGGCTACAAATATGTAGAGACAGAAAGTTGATTAGTGCCTGCTTAGTACTTGTCTGAGATGATGAAAATGTTCTAAAATTACTAGTAATGATTGTGCATATATGTGAACATACTGTAAGCCACTAAATTGTACACTGAAATTGGTGGATTATATGGTTTATGACTCTTTTCTCAATAAATCTGCTAAAATGTAGTACATGACCCAGATGTACTGAACAATAAATAAAAACATGCTCTAAAAAATTAAGTGCAAGTCTGCATTTAGCGTCTAGCAACTCTTGTAATTAGATTGTAAGTTGGTTCTTTAGTTAGTAGCAGGACAAAGTAGTAGTATCCTTAGATGCCTGAGACACATTTAGAGAGATGGAAGTAAAAGGGTTGAGAATATCCAAACCTGTTCCCTGGTAATCTCAGTCCACAATACAAGTTTGAATAATACAATGTCTTTTTCTTTGCATACCTAAATCCCAAAGTTTCAGCATTTGCCACTTTTCTTTTTTTGAGTATCTGGTTATATAGTAGGCGACAATATTATCATACCTCTAATGGAGGAATGTTTGATAACTTGGAGAGTAATTTTTTTCTTGCAGTTATACTCTTATCCCTTTACTAGGTTAACACTGTTTGCCATAATAGGAGAGTTAGTTTCTCTTGTTGTCTGTAATTTACAGTATTAAGCAAATACTCATTACCTCCATTTATGTCAAAATGTGTCTAGTTTATACATTAATTTATCAGATCAGTTCTCTTTGATTTTTCAACCAGATTTCTACTGTAAATATAAAATTATTCTGTTCCCCTCCTAATTATTTATCTCCTGTATCACATCTGCATAAAAGTATCTCTTCAAGCTGTGTCTGTAGTCCTGAGAATTTGAAGTAGAGCATCAGTTTTTCTTTGTCTTCTTGGAGAATGTTTGAACAGTGTTTCAAAGAACTTTAGTTGAGATTTATTCTTTCTTTCCTGTCAGTCATAAAGAAACACTGCTTTACTATTATACCAGATTGTTTTAGGTGCTTTGTTTTTACCTTCCATATTTCACATTTTTAAATAATGAATTTGAATTTTTATCACTATACACTTAAGAATTTAAATAATTTTCCTTCATTGGAACCAAGAAAATTATATTTTGCATTATTACATGCATTACAAATTTACTAATGATTTTGTAACATGTTAAAGCCACTAATTTTCAGTTTGTATAAAAAGGCTTTTCTCAAGTAAAGACTCTTTTTTAAAAAGTTTCTATAGTTTTCAAGTGTGTGTAATAAGTCAGGGGGAGGGTTCTGCTAATTTCAGTGCTATTCAGATGTCTGCAAATTCTGACTTAATCACTTGCCCTCTTATATCCTTTTAAAAAAAATCAGCACTTTCCTCATTAGGATTTTACTAAGAAAGCCCCTTAACATAATGTAGACTTTAGACATAGAACAAATTGTAATATTTGCTGATGAGACACCCCAGAAAGAACCCAGAAGTGACTGCTCCAGCAGTTGAATCCTCCAGTGTTTTACAAATTTTCTTTTAATAATTTATAATCTTTTGGGGTATGAAAGAATAAGTTGGTATCTTTCAAAGTTTTCCTTATCATTTTAAATTACAAAACATAGACAACTTAATTGAACTCCTATAGGCTATCTCCATCGGGTTTCTGTGGTTTAGGAGACCCCCACCAACCCAGTGCATGCTGATACGTCATTCTGATCAGCAGCCAGCTACCCATGGAATTGACCGCCTCGTGGGATCTAAAATTTAAAGGGGGAAAAGTGAGTTGTGAATTGCTAATGTGCTGACTGCCCCATTTTGCTTGGGAATTAGAGGGCAGTTTCTTTGATTATTGGAATGTGGTTAAAATTCCTTTGCAAGTACAAGTATGTTGATGATATTACTAACAGTTATTGATACTAACATTTAATTTAAGCATCAAAGGAAATTTCTGTTATGTCCTTAATATTTAAAACTCATAGAAGTTGAAATTATTGAAGAAAGACTTTTTTTGAAAATAAATTGTTGATCTATTGTGTTTAGAGAAATATTCCAAGTGGAAGTACTAGGCTGCTATGCTGCATGCAGACTTTGTTGAAATGTGTCTATATTGCCATTATACTCAGCAAAAACTGGTCATTTTAAAAGCATTTGTTTCTTTAAACTAGAAATCGAGGGTTACACTTAATCAAAAATTAATGGCAGTGAGGTCACTGTTAGATTTACACACCAAAAGCATGTTAAATAATTACATGTTTGTTTATTTTCAGCTGGCAGCCAGAGAGACAGATTCCATTCCATGATGTGAGATTCCCACCACCTGTAGGTTATAATAAAGATATAAATGAAAGTGATGAAGTTGAGGTGAGTTCCCCCTGCCATAGCATTAAGTATGGAAGGAGTTGTGTATTTAATTTGCCTTCACTTTTTATATATCTATCTCTACCTTGCTTTATGCACTATTTAAGCTGCCTTGAGTTTCATAACTTGAGTTTCATAACTGAGGTAGATATGTGCTTTTGACTGGCCCTTCTTAATAATGATTTGAAATAATATAAAATTATACAATGCTTAAGGTTGTCTATTTCAGTAGAACTCGGGGAATGTCTTTTTTTTTTTTTTTTTTTAAGTACTGGGGATTGAACTCAAGGCTTCACACATGCTAGGTCAGTACTCTAGCACTGAGCCAACATCTCTAGCCCCTCTCAGGGAATGTCTTTAAAAGTCACTGCCCCAAGTTCTTTTGCCCATTAGTACTTTTCCCTTTCCTTCCATATGTGAATTTTTATTTAAATAATGTTTATTTATAACTGTATCCCTGTTTTAAGCAAAATGTATTAGGAAAATTTATTTTACAAACAAAACAAATCATTCTGTTTAATAGAGCGGTGACCTGAAATTTATTTCTGTAGCAGTGAATTTTCCTGATGCATTTTTTAAAAACCTACAGCTCTCAGTTGATACATATGGATAAAATCTTTTTCATAGAATATACTGTGAACAACCTGGTCATCTGCCATTGAGCTGTTTGACCAAGAGTTGCTATGGAGATTTAGCGCATGATCAGAATCATTGTGTTTATGATTCTCTGTTCATTAGAAATTGGTTTTGTATTTAAGGCACTTATAATCTCTTTTGTGTTAATTTGTGTAGCATCATCCATTTCCTTCCTACCCTTTCATATTTCATTGTGAGCTACTTCTCTTTTTTCTGCATAACACTTAGCATAATGCCTTATTAGTAACTGTAACTTCATGTGTATTTAAAATATGAAGAAAGCAACTAAGTACACATATGTAGAGGTAAGGCAAAATGGTACTAGGTCCTTGTACTTGAATTCTTATTTTCTACTGTAGGTACCAAAGGTGCAACAAAATAAGACAGAGTCTCTGCCTTTGTTAAGGTCACATTCTAGTGAGGATAGCTATTATCATGGCAAGTGAAAGTCATGAAGGAAAAAAAAGCCGAGATGAAAGGTAATATAGGGGCAGGACTGCTACTTTAGAGAGTAATTAGGGAAGGTCTCGATGTCCAGGCCTGGTTTGTTTTCTATAATTTAAAAATATAAATAAAGTATTATTTATTTACCAAACATGTTCTGAATACTTGCTAGGTATAAGCAATGGGGCTTGGTTTTGCAAGGGATCATAATAGGGAACAGAAATGTTATCTATATTTCAAGACTTTTCACTGTCTACTTACCCAGAAGATTACAAGCTCTCTGAAAACAAGGGCCAAGTCTTTTGGTCTGTCTGTATCAGTAGTACTCATAATAGTGTTTGCTGAAGGGGTACAGTGGACCTTTTTGTTTTTCTCTGTAGTCACATGACATGTGGAAGTCATTGAGATGCTGTTGCTAGGATAACCTCACTGTATTACGTAACAGTTCAGGTTATTTCTTTGGCTAGAGCAGAGTCTAGAGAGCAGTGGAGGCCAGAAGGAAAGGTACGTTGAGTTATATAACCGTTAACTCTAGTTGTAAAAGGGAGACAAGTTTGAGCCTTGACCTACTTGTCAACCTTAGATTCGGTACCTCTCTCTCCTCTTGGGGCCTTTCCTCTCTACCCCTCTTGTCCTCCCTGCTTCTACTTTCTGCTTCTGAGTATTTCTATCTCTCAACATATATATTGTATTGTTTCTTTTCCTATTAACCATGATTTGCTAGTGTCTTCACCAAAGGTTCCATGCTGCACATCGTAAGTGAACTTTGAAGTGGTCACCAGAGAGATCGGTTAGAAGAACTGGTCCACAGTGTGTGAGAGAGCAGGAATATGATATCCAGAAGATTGCCAGCGTGGATTTGTCCTTTTTAGTGGAGAGGAGGCAGGAGTCCCAACAGTAACCAAGGATCTGTCCATTTAGTCCCCAGAAAACAAGAAGGACAGGGTGGTATCCCTAGTGGGCTGAGTGGTTGGTCAGTTAGTGATCTTACCCGTTAGTGACAAGGCAGTAGGCCAGAGTCAGTAACTTCTGATTACTTTAGTTGCTTATCTGAATAAAACAAAAGCAAGTTTGTACATTTTAGATACATTTTTGTAGTTCACTAGGTAGCTAAGGAAAGTGCCCACGTTTATGAACAATCAGCCTTTCTTAAGCATACCTGTTCAGAGTACTGAGTATTACTGAAGTAAAACAGAGAACTAGGTGAACTGCTTTTAATAGGGAGCTCCCAGGCAATCTCAGGTAGTTTCTGATTATGTATCTTTGTGTAGCTCAGGGTAGAGACAAGGATACAATTTGTTTGAAAGCATATGGCATATGATTTGAATGACAGGCATTTTAAGAAAATGTCCTCAATGTCTGATAATGTATAAATTTTTATATTATGTTAATCATAAATATTCTGTGTTGCAATTTTTGTGTAGGTTTATTCCAGAGCAAATGAAAAAGAGCCTTGCTGTTGGTGGTTAGCTAAAGTGAGGATGATAAAGGGTGAGGTAGGAAAATGCTAATTTAAATTTTTTTCTTATACTTCTCTAAACCCAGACACTACATTTCAGTTTGAATTTGTATTTGAATTAATACCAAATTTGAGTCACTTTTCTATAATGTTTTCACTATATGTTCAGTATGTTTAAGTTTATTGATTTTTTCTGTAAAGAATTAATTTTGAAAATAATTCAATAGGTATATAAGTTTTTGCTCTTGATTTTAAAAAAAACTGTGAGAAGGAATGATTTTATGTATTTCTCAGTTTTATGTGATAGAATATGCAGCATGTGATGCTACATACAATGAAATTGTCACGATTGAGCGTCTACGATCGGTTAATCCAAACAAACCTGCTACAAAAGATACTTTCCATAAGATCAAACTTGAGGTGCCAGAAGACTTAAGACAAATGTAAGTTTATACACAAGAAATGGTGAGAACATGCAGATGATATGCAGTGAATTTAAAAGAATATAAATTTTAAAATAGTACAAGTCAATTTTTAAGTTCAGTAAGCTTTGGCAAAAGATGGTTTGGTCTGAAAAACAATTTGAAAAGAACTTATTTTGTTTCTTCTAGTTATATAATCACAGCCAGACTTGGTGCTTGTAAACTTAGTTGGCAAGATACATAACTAATGTACATAACATATATTTGTTTTGTAAAATAAACTAACATTTTTGTAAATTTCAAGATTTCAGAACTAATAAAAATAAATATTACGATTTTGACAAATCAAATTCTAGACTATGAAAGTTTCTCCAGATTTTTCCCCTTTAGCTAAAATATTTTTAAATAAATGCTCTAAGCAGGGTTAAAAAAGATTGAAGATATGTTTATAATATTTGATATGGAGTAATGGCTAAAGAATTCAGATAAAAGATTACTTTTTCAAAATTTTATCAAGGGAATATAGTAAGTTTGATTTGGACATACTGCAGCTCAGATAAATTGCAGATCAGAATACATAGAAATCCTTTTTTTATTCTAGAGGTTGTATTTATATGTAAATTTTCTGCCTTCTCATTCATACTTCTTTTTCTTTTTTTCTTTCCTTCAAATTTATCATCTGTTTTAAAGGAAAACCAAAACAAAATTAGATACCCAATAGCTATCCCCATAAATTTTCAAATATTGACTCAAGGAATCTACTGACTTATATGTAACCAAAATTGGGACGCCTACAGAGAAGAGTGGTTCCCCTAAATATGTTTCCTTTGATAATCTAAACCCACAAGTAATTCCTTTAGAACATAAATGTTTCTTTTTTTTCTTTTTTTTTTCATAAAATCAAGTGCTTGATTTGACTGTTTCAAGATACACAACAAAGGAACTAATCTTTTAAATGGATATAATGTATTTTGCATAAATAAAATTTAATACGAATCCATGATTATCCTAAGTATAAATCTGAATATATTTTTGCCAGTAGTTAGTAATCACTCAACAATGGGTTTCTTTTTATTTCTAGGTGTGCCAAAGAATCGGCACATAAGGACTTTAAAAAGGCAGTTGGTGCCTTCTCTGTAACTTATGATCCAGAAAATTATCAGCTTGTCATTTTGGTGAGTGTTTCCAAGTTGTCTATTTTTGGTTTGTTTCATTTGGGGCATTTGCTTTGATAATAACGTTGTTAACTTAATCATTTAGTCCATCAATGAAGTCACTTCAAAGCGAGCACATATGTTGATTGACATGCACTTTCGAAGTCTGCGCACTAAGTTGTCTCTGATACTGAGAAATGAAGAAGCTAGTAAGCAGCTGGAGGTATGTCACTTTTCCTAGCACTACTTGTAAGGCTACCTTGAGTAAAATGTACAATTCCAAAACTTGAATATGGGCAGCTTGTCATTCATTTAGTATTTCTTAATAATTCATTTTAGCTTAGAAAGCTAAATTGTATGAATCATAATCATAGTAAAGTTTTCTTGCCTGATGTTTCAAAATTAAGCAGTTCATATATTTGATGGGACTTCTGGTCAATGCACTTTTACTGTAAGTTTGTCAAAGCTGCTAATAAAATGAGGTAATGCTTCTTCCATATAACATGTTATCATTAAAGTACTAGAAATTATTAAAATATCTAATCATATTCCTTTCATTATGTATGTTTATCTCTGTTTAAAAGGGTATAGAACTTCTTCATTCTAATTGGTTGTCATTCTTTAAAACTCCTGTCTTCAGATTCCTGCCAGAGGCTATTTCCCTTACTTACTATTTCGTCTCTTAAGGTGCATTTTATCTACTTTTATTAATTCTCCTATAATTTCCATCATCATACATTTATTTTCATTGATAACAGTCTAGTATTTCCATCCATTACCATAGAAACTAAATGGATTATGGTTCAGTGTGCCAACTCAAGTAGATTACTGTCAAAATCCAGATTTCCTTATCATTATTCATTTCATCAGGGGGAAAGCATCAGTTGAAATATTTAAAAAAAAAAAAAAAAAAGAAGTTCCAAACTGAAGTTTTGGAGAGAAGGTAGTCAAGGCTATATTCTTGTAAAACCCTACGAAATTTGCTACATTCCAACTTGATGTGTGATTACTGAACTGATAGCAAGAGAGGAAAATTTTACTTTGTTTTCCTTATGGCCATGGAGGTCTTTTGATTGGTTGTGTTTTGTTTTGTTTTTCTCATTCTTTCTCGATGTCCCTGTGTTCACAATTTTGTGGTTTCTTTAGTGATTGTCTTATAATTTATAGGCCAGAGCAGCCTTCTTACTTTTATTGTGAGTATTATAAAATACACGCATATGCCTCTTCTTAATCTTTGGCTTACCATTTATCAGTGAATCATCAGTGAAAAGAAGGAACCAGGTTAATGAACCCGTACTCAAAAAGCATGACTTCTTGGAAAGTCCTAGAAATATTTAATGAATTTTACTACTCTAATCTAAAAAAATGGAAATTGTACTTATAAAATTATTTACATTTAGGTATATTCATTCAATTATCAGGTGTGTTGAATAATGAGAACTAGTGTGCATGCCTATCTTCCTTCACTACTAATATTAAAGAGATTCACATATTCCTATAAGAAATTCCCATTTTCAACATGAGCCACTAATACGTTTGGTTTGCATTAATGGCATGCTAGAACTAAACATTAAAATTTTATATACTATTTAAAAGACAGTGATTATCCACAAGTTTGGGGTATCAGTGGAATTTAGTTTTGTCATTACTGAATATATTTGAAAGAGCTCATTATACTTGTGGATCCAGATCATAAGGTCTTACAGACTCTGCTCTAATTTTAGGTTTCAGATGCATATGTGAGATAAGTTTTAAATCTTTGGCATGCTGTAATCAATTTAACTTCTATGACAGCAAGTCTTAAAATTCCTTTTCTTAGGTTTGGAGAAAATGGAATATGTTCTTTTGATGCCATCATTTAAAGAGAGGGATGTTTAGAACATAGTACCTAGTGATACTAAGTCCTAAATATGTACTATTTCCAGGGAAAAAAAAATAATATCCTTAAGTAAAAATAAAATGTTCTATAAAGATGACATTTTCAGTGTTTTGCCTAAACAATATTGAGTCTGTCAGATCCAGTGAGCTGGTGTTTATTTGGGAACATTTGATCTGCTTCTTAATTTCTGAATTGTTGATATTGGTTAACTAAGGCAGCCTTGCAAATAGGTTTTCAAAAGTTACCTTGGAAAATTGTCGACAAGCTCTTTCCTTTAATATCAAATGGCATAGACCTTCAGTAATAACCTAAAAAGTACTTATGCTGTGGGAAATCTTTTCTAAAATTAATTTTCAACTGAAACTAATTTATAGGCCCCTAATATACAGGGTCAAGATAATTTACATGGCTGACCTAAATACAGTTGTCTTAATAGTTGATAAAGCGTATTCATCAGATGTGTATTTCTCTTCAGAGTTCAAGGCAGCTTGCCTCAAGGTTTCATGAACAGTTTATTGTACGAGAAGATCTGATGGGTCTAGCAATTGGTACTCATGGTGCTAATATTCAGCAAGCTAGAAAAGTACCTGGGGTCACTGCTATTGATCTAGATGAAGATACCTGCACGTTTCATATTTATGGAGAGGTAAATATTTTACTAACTAGCCCCCTGCCCCAAATCAGTGTTGCTGCTGGTTGATCATTTTGTCTTGAAACTTTCCCCCTTTTTATTAGGATCAGGATGCAGTGAAAAAGGCTAGAAGCTTTCTTGAATTTGCTGAAGATGTCATACAAGTTCCAAGAAACTTAGTAGGTGAGTTAGAAATAACCATTAACATGCACCACAAAAATAAAATTCAGGTAAACAATTTTTATAACAATAGAATCCAATTTTTATACCAATAGAATCCAATTTTTCCTCACTCGGGAGTATCACTTAATTGAATTGCAGTCTTTGAAATATGGTCTGTTGCTACCATGTTGAGAAAGTGTTTACTGGGTATCATACTCAGATTATATTATCAGAATGTATGCAAAGGAGATTGCTTTGGTAGTTAAAACCAGACTTCTCACTGTATAGTGTCTCTATCTTAAAATTGACTGTTTTTTTTTTAATGAATGATAGTTGGTATCTTTATAATTCATAGTAGATAGGTATTTGATTTCCCTAAGAGGACTATAAAATATAGCATTATTTTTAATTATCTCAACTTGACAATCTGAATGCAAGTTTCTTAAATCTAGTACGTTTTTAAGCCAGAAGTAACTAAATGTCTCTGGGACTTTCTGCAAAGTTACTGGTAACTTCTTATTTTAACTTTTGAGTACTGTTCGATGACCATCACCATCATGAGTGTCAGCAAATACCTAAGAACATTTCACCAACCCTCCCAAATGCTGCAGGTATTTTTAGTATAACATATCAAAAACAGGTGTAATTTTATCAAGGAAATTAAATATGATTTTAATTTGTAAGTAAGATTGAGACCTATTGCCTGTACATGTTTAATCTTTTAACCTTGAAATCATGATTGCTGTAGGAGGTAATGCAACTTCTTGGGAAAGTTTAAAAAGAAAACAAGGATGACTTATGCATTTTGTGGACATAGTTTCAGAACTATATAGCTTGCTTTTTATCAGCATAGAGTTTTAAACATCTTTAGTGTCATTAAAAAACACTAGTAATGGTATTTTTCTCCCACAGAAAATCAGCTTAAAGATAAAGTACAAATACTAGTGAAATAATGCAGAATTAATAGCTCAGTTATATACTACAGACAAATTAAAGAACATGAATGTGTAATGTTATTGAGGTAATTCACATACCAGTTGTGTAGAAAATGTATGTATAGCACAGGGTGAAGTGAATATCTCAGGATGGTGAGATTATAAATGATATTTATTTTCTTCTTTATAGCTTGTTAAGCAAGTACTTAAAATTTTAAATAAGAAATATTATTGTAAATTTGGCAAATCTTATGAAAATATAGTATTCGTTTTTTAAAAAAAATATCAAATTGATGATGCTTATATGTCTCATAAAACATTGTTTTAGAGAAGGCATGATGGTAGGGGAAGGTGCTTGGGCATAGGGGTTGGCTCTGGATTTTAGTCTTTAGCTTCCTTGAGTCTTCTCTCCTCACCTATCAAATAAGTATAAAATATCCACCTTACAGTATGTATATGTGTACATATAAAGTACCTAGTGCAGTTCTGGGCATTATAGTGGACTCAATTCAATTTCCTTTACCTTATTCAAAACAACCTCATTTCAGTAAAGCAGAATTGTAGTCAATTATCTGTTGGGATTTAAAATAATTGTTTAATATTGAATTTCATAATTTGTTATTAAATAAAAGTAGATTCTACCTGTAGTCTTAACTGGAAAGAAGAGGATCTCTGAAAGTATCTTTTACCAGAAAGCCTTGTGAAGTAAATCATCCTGTTTTTTGTTGTGTTGTGTTTCTATTTAGTAAAGTGAGAGTATTCTGTTTTTGAGAGGGCTTCTACAAAACTGGCAATGTTGGGGACTTTAAGAAAGCATTTTTACATAAGATTAGGCAAGGCAATCTTTAGGGGAGATGTCATAATCAATATTACAAAAGAGTTTTGTTAGGTCTCACAATATGATTTATTATCTATTTTTCTCAAACTCTCTTTAGTGTGTATAATGATTTCCTTTTCTTAAAATTTTCTTGTTCTTCCCTGGCTTTGACAATGAATTTGTTTAATTATTCAGCTGTGTTAAACTTGTACAATACTTAGGATAGTCAAGATATTATCTTAATAGAAACATGCTAAAATCTCATTTTTCTTTTTTGCTAACTCATTTAGACTTTTATTTAAACCAGCATTGATTCATGAAAATATAGCTATTATAAATAAAAAGAAACTGTGGGCTGGGTAGAGTGGCACAACCTGTTATCCAAGTGATTCTGAAGGCTGAGGCAGGAGGATTGCAAATTCAAGGCCAGATTCCACAACTTAACAAGACCCTGTCTCAAAATAAAAAAAAAAAATAAGAAGAATTAAAAAGAAGTAGGGAATGTAGTGGTAGGTAGAGCATTCCTGGGTTCAATTCCCAGTACCCAAACAAACTATGGGAAACTCCATTCAGGTAGCTTCACTGTCCCTACTCTTCTCCTTTTTATTTGAATAGGACCAGAAATAATTGTCAAAAGATCCTAGGTCAGGTGTTCTAATTTAATGGCATCTGTTCTGTTTCCTGACCACTGAGTGGACCAAAGGTTCTCATGTAGCTACACACAGCAAAAATGTCAAAGTTGTGCTCTAATTACAAGAGCCACAGGATCCTTCTGTGAGGAGATCTTTACTGAGTTCTTATCTAGGATTGGCTCAAAGCAAATTTTGGCTTACATGTTTTTCCTCAGTTTTGCCTCAGAAAAGCTAGTGGGGCAAGCATGTGATGGATACCTTGCTGAGCCCTTGAAATAAGATACAGCTCACACACAGATTTCTAGAATTAGTAGTTATTATATTTGTAATGTCTTGCTTTACACTAATATGTGATGATGGCTCTGAAAGCAGTTATGTCCCAGTGATGTATGTGGCTGGAATTTCTAAAATGAGGGAAAGAATCCAGTGCCTATTTATTACTAGTACTTGAACTCTGGTTTTTTAGTAAAGGGTACTTACACAGGTTTTAAACTTTTGCTTTTCATTATGATTTTCATGTGCTACCTTGATCTTTTATTCTATGATTTTTGACTACTACCCAGGAATAATATTTTAACAGACTGGCATGAGAGATTGTATTCCTTTTAGATCTATGTATACCTGCATAAGCCACTTTTAAACTTAGATTATCTTTTATAAAATTCTAAAAATGAGAATGAATGGATAAAGAGGCAGATTTAAATCACATGTAGATAAGAATCAAAATTGTCAGTTGAGCATGGATATTTACAATTATTCTTTCCTTAATTCCTTTTGTAGAACTTTGCAGAATAATAAAGCACCACACTACCAGCAAGTTTAAATTGTACATAACCTCCTAAATTGTACATAACCTCCTACGTATGCAAAGCAATAGACTATCTTTGGACTTCCTTAGAAGTTTGAATTACCCAATCAGTTCACAAGTATTAATCAACTGTAGTACCTGACCAAAGGCATTTAAGTTATGATGACCTAATCAAGGAGAAAACTAATTTAACTGTCACAACAGGGGCCTCTGTTTGAATCTTACAATTCTGTGTGTGTGTGTGTGTGTGTGTGTAAACACGTACATACACACATACATGAGATAATTTACAGGAGAGTGTGCTCAGAGGGACTAAGGTGTGTTTTTAAAACCAAAAATGAATTATTCATTTCTTACTTAGGTAAAGTAATAGGAAAAAATGGAAAACTGATTCAGGAGATTGTGGACAAGTCAGGAGTTGTGAGGGTGAGAATTGAGGCCGAAAATGAGAAAAATGTCCCACAGGAAGAGGTATGTTATATTTCATGTTTCTGGTTGTCTAATAAAAGTAAAAGTCTTCTATTTTTTAGCTGACATACTAACTTAGACCTCTCGGTCACATATGTATATGTGACTGTAGATATTTTGATCATCCAACATGCCTGATATAACTAACGGTATAGTTGTACATGATGGCCTCTATCTGTTGTCCAATGCTGTGACTTCAGATTAGTCATCTTAACTTATGTAAATCTTATTTTCTAATTTTTAAAATGGTTAGTTACAAATTTTTTAATATGAAACATACATCACTGGGTTTGACATTAATGACAACTTAATGAGATAATGTGTGAAAATGCTTTGTAAAGCATTTTCAAATGTTAATGTTGCTGACAAAAACAAAAGTTCCACCTTTGACATTTTTTTTTTTTAGTTTCAGGATTATGTGTGCTTATAGTTTTTTATCTTTAAATTTTATATAACTTTTTTTTATAACTTTCACTTTTATTTTCCCGAATATATGCCTTTTGGTAGCAACATTTGAAGTGTTTGTATGGGGTGAGGGAAATGAGGTTATGCCCTTCTGTGCAGTAGTACTCTTTAAGATACTGTCACCTCCAAATGTCAAATTTCACACATCTACCCACTTTTTGTGAAAGGTTCTTTTAGTTAAATCCTTTGCAGTTTTTTAGTGCATGATGTTTATATACCAAAGTACTCTATAAGTTACATTCCTAAAAACAATCATTTATACAGTTATGGAGTTAACAAGTCTTAAAAATGGTTCTTTTTATCTTTTGTGTTTTGTGCCTGTTTTTAAGGAAATTATGCCACCAAATTCCCTACCTTCCAATAATTCAAGGGTTGGACCTAACCCCTCTGAAGAAAAAAAACATTTAGATATAAAGGAAAACAGCACCCATTTTACTCAACCAAACAGTACAAAAGTCCAGAGGGTAAGAATTATTTTGTCAATTTGGAAAACATTAAAAGTAATTTTTTTTGATTCAGATGTCACTGTTGGTGTTTTGAATATTTTTTTTTCCTGGTTAGACTGGTGAACTACTCATGTTCTATTTTTTTAGATCTGCTAGTGAACTGATGAGATACTACAAACCAAAGTAATACATACTGCTCTGTTTATTCAGAACGACAACTCTTAACACCATAAACATAACAGGATTGCATTTTTCTTTTGAGGCTGTACTTTATTTTTTCCATGCTCTATCTCCTTTAAGTTTGCAGGCCTTGTAGCTCAAAATGTGCCTTCGGTTAAGCTATTTTTAAAGATAAAAAAACCAGTTAGAAACTCATTTTCACTATTTGAACTAAGCTATCAATTTAGAAATGGGTTTTAGAAGTCCTACAATTAAGTCCTACATCCAGTCTTCTGTATATCATTTGTTAAGAGTTTTTTGTAATATCACTTGCAATCCTTACACTTCTTTAGGTATTTAGTGGTTTGATCAGTTGTAGTAGGGAATTCCAGAAACCTGAACTCAAGTTTTGGCAAGTAGGAAGACACTCATTGAAAAATATATTTTAGGTTTATACTTTAAATGTTTATTCCCCTTGTTAAAAAAGACTATAAATGATCATTCTTGGTTGGGGGCTGGTGAAGGAGTATTTGTGGGAATGTGTATTAATTTTCCTGCAGACAAAGCGCAAGGCTTTCATGCCAGTTACTTATCCAGTGTCATCTGTCACCACTCTTCTCCCTTGTACTCTAGAGAAGCTTGAGCCATACTGAAGTACTTTGAATTCTTTGAACATTATCATATTCTGTTGCTTCTAGATATATGCAGTAGAAAACTTTGTGTTTATGCTTCCTAGAGCACTCATTCTCCTCTTTCCAACCTCACTTTGACCTTACTCATTTCTTTGCTTATGTACTTGCTTCAGGTTCCCCTTCCCTGAATGCATCAAGAATCTTTCCCTTTGTGCTTCATTGTGTTATACAGTGTGGTTCCCCTTCCCTGAATGCATCAAGAAGCTTTCTCTTTGTGCTTTATTGTGTTAAACCATAGCATAGAACATAGATCTATACAGTGTGGTTGAGGAGACCAACAAGTGATCTCACTTGTTGATCTCCTCAACCACACTGTATAGATCCTTGAGGGCAGTACCCACTTGTTGATCTCCTCAGCCACACTGTATAGATCCTTGAGGGCAGCACGCCCTACCTGGCCTAGGAAAGCTGTTTTTGGAAAAGATGTTATAACTCAGAAGAGATTAAAATCAAGTCTCATTTTGCACAAAACTGTAATTTCAAGTGGGTTGGCTATTCCTCTCTGCTGGGAAGCCTAGTTCTCATACTAGATTAGGTCATCACTTTTTCCTGGTATCTCTATTAAAGGCCACCATTCTACTTTATTTTTTTCTTTTAATTTACTCAGGTCCTCTGGATAGGTGCTTAAATTAGAGTAGCCTTTGGTTAGTAAAACAATTTGGACCTGGTGTAAGAGAAAATATTTTTAAATGATTTTCTTCAAGGTCAATCTAACCAAATCTGTAACACAGAATTTTAAAGCTGGTTTTGGTGATTGTGTGGGAAGGGTGTAGCATTCTCTTACATGGGATTTTAGAAAGCACAATTAACAGCTGTGTAACAAAGTTAGGTGGCAAAAAAAAAAAAAACATGAGTTAAAATGATGTTTTTGAGAAAGGAATTCTGATTTATAGACCTGATGATTCCATACTTTACATGTTACATGTGCAAAAACAAATCAGTATGAAGACCAGGAGTTTTTATTGGCTCCTTTTTAGGTGGCCAGTGCTACTCAGAAGGCAGTTCCTTGCCTATTAGGTGAATGTCAGTCTGAAAGTGGTGTTTTTCTGATTCTTCAGTTTTGTTCATCAGCAGCCATGCTCATGTACAGGGGAAAAAACCCTGTGCCAGCCCATTCATACCTTTTAGATGCTGTATACTGAATGCAAGCAGGTAAAACCATCCCAGCAGTAGCAGCACTTATCAAATGAATGCTCTTATGAAAGACCAATGCTTTGCTCAAGGGATAGCTTCTTGGCTTCTCATACCTTTTATCTTTGCCTAGAGAGTTATGTTATATTCACAGCAAAGCTACCATCATACTTTTCCTTTAATCATTTATAGATATCAGTAACCATATGTATTCAATAGCAAAATATTGAAATATTCTTAATTTTGAATGTATGTCATAATTCCCTGCTTTTTACAAATCTCCCCTAGGATTCCCTATTGCTTGTGATGAGAAAGAGTTTATTTTCTCATTTATAGTGATGAGTCAGAAGTATAAATATTTAGATTATGCTTTTTAAAAATCTGTTCTCTTTTATTATAGAATATAGAATATTACAATCTAACAGTCAACTATATAAAGTATGCAAAAATTATAACTTTCACTAGTAATTGAAGGAAGTCAATAGAAGGGATCATAATTTTTTACCCATCCAATCAACCTAGAAAGGAAAGCAAAAGGAGAATACAGTGAAACATTTTTTCTCACATTGTTGATGACAGTTTCAATACATGTAACAGTGCAAGAACATTTTATTAATATTTTTCAAATATAAAAAAGTTCATGTACTTTATTCTCATTGTATGACCCCTGGAAATAGTCTATAAATCTAATACAAAATGAGGAAAATGTACATTTAGAAAGTTGATGATATCAATCATTTTTATAATTTTAAACAATTGAAAGCAACAAAAATTTCCAGATACACAGGGGTGTTAAATCCTTCATTATAACATCTATATTAGCAAGGAGTAATTTGCAGACCAAAACTGATTATTTTGAAAACAATCAAGCCACAGAAAATGTTTTATATAGTAATAAATGGAAAGATGGCATATAAATGACATGTAAACTATAGTTTTAACTATGCCACAACTAAGGAACTGCTAATGATTTTATTTAATAAATATCAAAGTGGTATCCATAGAAAGAAAAGCAAATTTTCCCTGTAATTCATCCTTCTAAATTTTTCAGAATATGTTATTGAAATATATATGGTCTTGCTATTTGGGTCATGAATGTGCCTGTATCTTTTTTATCTCTCAGTTTGTCAGTGCATTTTTCAATATCCTAATTTTTTTTGTTCCTGTTTTGATTGTACTCTGTTAACTCAACAAAATTTAGGTTTGTTTTTTTTACTTTTGAAATCCTGGTATCTAGTTTTGAATTATTTTCTTAAAGAATTTGATTTAGTAAAACTTGTAGTAAATGAATTAGAGCATTTGTCTATACTTCTCATGTTAAAGCTTGCATATATTGGAATTATATCGTTTTTTGCCAACATTTAATAATTGCTATATTGATCTGTCCTTATTCAAAATAGATGTGTAAAATACATCAACTACTTTTGTTTTTATATATTGATTTGTCTTTTCAACAAACATTTATGTACCTATTGTTCACCAGACCCTGTGGTAGGAATTTAGTAATTACTTGTATTTTTCCAGAGCAGTTATCACTAATTTTATACATTCATTGCTGTAATTTATTTTTCAGGGTATGGTACCATTTGTTTTTGTGGGAACAAAGGATAGCATAGCTAATGCCACTGTTCTCTTGGATTATCACCTGAACTACTTAAAGGTGAGGACAGAAAAAATATTTTATTTTTCTGGAAAATACTTTTATTTGTATTAAACATCAACCCTATTATACATTGCTAATATGCTGTGAGAACAGGAAAAATTTAACTTTCAATCCTTTTGCACTAAAATTTAAAAACTATAGTAAATATTTCAGCAGTTCGGAATCATTCTAGCCTGTGCATAATAATGTATGGCCTTGTAAAAGAAAATAGAGAAAATACTTAATTTGTTTAACTTGAATATATTCCTTCTAAAAACACAACTTACTTTTTTATTGTAAATTTAAGAACCTAATATTCCATTCTCAATAAATTCCTGTATTTCTGCCTATTCTCTTAAACCCTTACACTCAATTTTGGTATTCTTATATCTAGCCATTTAATCCAATTGATTCGTTCTAGCTTTTGTGGATTTTTTCCACACTAAATTTTGTGTCTAACACTCACCTTTGTTGTCCCTTTTATGTCATTTATCAAGGAAATTCCAGCATTTCATGAACTACTATGTTTAAATGTTGGCCCTTCATATTTTCTCTTTATTCTGTTTTTCAAAATACAAACTATTTGTGTCTTCTTGTAATTGCTCATTTTAGTTAGTGTTTGTACAGTTCTACCTCTAGATTGCAAGCTGGGAGATAGGAACCAAACGGCTACAAGGTATAGTGAAAAGAGCACTGGATTGACAATATAGCTATTTGCTTCTAGTCTCTCTTTAACTAAGAACTAGCTATATGACTTTAGGCAAGATATTTCCCTAAACTAAATGCTTTTTGAAATTCCTTTTGGCCTATAATATAATGAAATGTACTCTTAACCTAATTTTTATAATTTCTTCTTTGTACTTCTATTTATCAAAATTATAACACGGCTGGTATTAAATAGTCTTTAAAAAGTAATCCAGCTTTCCATTTTTTATGGCACTATCCTAATAAGATTTATTTTGCTGACTTAAATAAAAAGAGAGCAATAAGATGTAAATCAGAGTGAAAGGAAGAAATAGTGCAATAGCTGGGCATTTTATTCATTCTTAGTGATGATCAGTTAATAATTTAAAATGGGAAGGTTTCATCCAGCAAGGTTTGCATGGGTAGGATACCTTTTTGATTTGCTTTTTGTTGTTGCTGTTATTGTTGTTAACAGTGTGTTTCGTGTGTGATCTGTTGTATGTGTTTTTCTTCATTTCTTAGCTTAAATGATTGTAAAGACCTGGACAGTTAGGGTTGCACTGTATCAAATCCCTTGTTCTTTTGACTAATGTTCTCTCTCAGATCTTTTGATTTATTCTTCACAATTGAATAACTTGTTGGTTATCAGCAGCTGTCCTGTTTCCATTCTTTCTATCACCAGATCTTCCTTTGATTGGGCCTGGCATCTCTCACCAAAAGGTGACTGTTTTGCCTCAGTGGTATTACCCTGGAATACCATTCTGTTATGCAAGATCCGTATATCCATTCCAGGAGCTATTATTGTACCTTTGGAGGCAGCCACTCACTCAGCTGCATTCTGTCCTTTACTCTTGTGTGGTTTAGAGCACAGGTGATCCTTAACTGACTTTTCTTTTCCAGATACCACACCATATTTTAGGAACTTAAGCTTTTCAGGGGTTTTTCCAGTGACTTTTTATATAGACAGTCTCTACAATGACTTCTACTTGACTGAAACACCCAGTACTTACTGTAGTTATGGTTCTGATTCCCTGTAGCCAGTAAATGAGATATTTATGGGTAGATCGGAAGGACAAGGGTTTAAAATTAGGTTTTTGTCTGGATTTGACAGACTATAGCTTATTGGAAGTACTGTTTATAAGGGTCTGTCAGTAGACCCCAGCTGTATGTTTTAATCATCTGAATATATACTGTTTGTTGTATTTGTTGTAGTAGAGTTGTAGACTTTAAGGGGTTTTCAAGGAATAATGTAGGACTGAACTGTTTTGTTCAGCTATTAAAGTGTTTTCCCCTTTTATATAAGGAATATCAGCATTTTTTAGTTCATGGAAAATAATTGTTCCTAACTATATAATCACATCCAAAAATAGTATATGTTCTTTTAAAGCAAAAGATGCCCCAAACTCAGTGATTTGTAAATTGAGATCTTAACTGGCAAATCTATTTTAATTAAGATAATTTACAGTGTGTGATTTTTTTGAGATTAGATGGCTATACTTTAAAATGTCATTTATCTGTATTTATATAGTTTAATATTGCTTTATTCAATATCCTATCATCAAGAAGTCCCAAAAAAATAACATATTTGTGCCTTAGCCATAGAATAATTGGATAATTGTGCCAAATCAAATAAACATAAATTTTATTCAGTATAGTTTTAATTCTGAGTTTTTATTATATTTCTAATTCTGGACATCAATAACCTGTTATCTATAGTAATTTTCTTTTTTAAGGAGGCCAATTTCCTGATAATTTTGTGTAACAGTGTTTACTATAAATTTAGAACTGAAATTTAAATATTTCCAGTATATTTTTTATCTGATAAAAAGGAGAAAGATATTATTAAGAAAAATGTCAAATTATTTTTACTGTTATCTTGTATATTTTAAATAGGAAGTAGACCAGTTGCGTTTGGAGAGATTACAAATTGATGAGCAGTTGCGACAGATTGGAGCTAGTTCTAGACCACCACCAAATCGTACAGATAAGGAAAAAGGCTATGTGACTGAGGATGGTCAAGGAATGGGTCGAGGTAGTAGACCTTACAGAAATAGGGGGCACGGCAGACGCGGTCCTGGATATACTTCAGGTACAAACTAAGCATTTTACTCAGTAACTTTATCTGTTCCTAGACCTAATAGCTGCTAATCTCTAATATCATTAGAACCCCATTATAACAACTTCTCACTACATGGTTTCCAATTCACAGTGGGTCAAATTGTGTTTCAAGAGACATAGAGTAAAACTAATAATGACACACATAGTTCAACAGGGCAGTTCTGAGTTCTGTCCATGTTCTGATTGGGGATAAATCCACTCAAGCCCTTGTGTGTTGATGACTTAAGACCTCTCCTGATTTTATTACTGTATAGCCAAAACTTTTTTTCATTTGTGTACTGTGGCTCATTTTTTGTCAGGCATGTGCTGGTCATACTTGCTGGATGGACTGTGTAAATCAGGGGTCTGCATCCTGTGACTCATAAGGTGATTTTGAGTGGCATGGCCAATGTCAGCCCTAGGCACTGTCAAGAAGTAGGCGAAGTTTCTCTTTGCCTTCCCAGTTCTTCTGTCCGTGCTTCTATCTTCTTTCCCAGTACCTTTCAGTGAACCCGGTCCCCACCTACCAGTGCCTACTGTCTTTCTTGCTCAACTGTGTATCTACTATGTTACTTGCTAATGATGGTGTAAGGTATAATCCATCTCAAAAATATTTGCATTTCAAAAAGGAACTCTTTAAGATGGAAAAGCCTTCAAGATCCACAGGAATGAAGCTATAATGGTGAAGCTATAATTGGTCATTAGCTCCAACAGAGGAAGAGAGAGAGAGAGATAGATAGAGAGAGGTAGTAGAGTTGATATTCTGGAGTCGGGGAGAGATACCTACTCCTAAGGCCAACCTTGAACCTAACCCCTAACCCCTCTCCCAACACTCCGTTCTTTTTACCAATGAATTTCACTTCACCATGGAGCTCTTTTCCCACACTCCTATCCCCTCCACTATTAACCCCTCAGGCATATTGAGGTTTTCAAAGTATTCCTTTATTAATGATCAGTTAATTCAGTGGGAGTGGGAGGGAAGGTTGTGGGCCAAGCATCGGACAAACACATCCCCCTAAGAGACCCTTCCCTGAGATAGATGTCATGGTGGCCTTCATTAGTGCCCTTTCAGAGGTGACCAAAATGTGTACATTCTCCTCTGTTCCCAGGCCAAATCTTATAACAAGCTCTCTTTATAGATTTTTTGTTTATTAAGGTATTGCACTGAACTGTTGTAGACAACTTTTTCTCCAGAGAGCAGATGTTTAAAGGAGAACAGCTGTTTACAGATATGGCATACTCAGGTTTGAATTCAGATAGCTAATAAAATATGTTTTTTAAAAAAAATAAAAACCCAAACAGTAACTGTTTATAAATTACAAAATTACTTCTCAAATATTTCAAAGCCCAACATTTCAAATTTTCAATTATTTGTTTTACAAAATGGAAGGTGTTGATACTCTGGTGGGCTTCTAAATTGGGAAGAGTATTGGATTACCCCTGAATCGTCTCTGGAAGCTTCTGTTAACCTTTTTTTTTTTTTTTTTTTTAAGTCGGACAATGGTATATAACTTTTAACTTTCGATAGGAACTAATTCTGAAGCATCAAATGCTTCTGAAACAGAATCTGACCACAGAGACGAACTCAGTGATTGGTCATTAGCTCCAACAGAGGAAGAGAGGGAGAACTTTCTGCGCAGAGGAGACGGACGGCGGCGTGGAGGGGGAGGAAGAGGACAGGGAGGAAGAGGACGAGGCGGAGGCTTCAAAGGTACAGAGGTTTTCATTATTGAGAAATAATGGTGAACTGTAACAGCCGGCTGAACTTCCTTGAAACAGCTTGGTGATGCAATGAAGTACTGTCAAAATCCTGTCTCCTTTTTTGTGCTGACCATCATAGGAAAGTATCAGCCTTTCCTTTGTATATTAACACAATATTAGTTTTGGTTTATGTAGAATATATGAAAAAACACAGATAAGTAGCTAATTAGTTATCTTCATTAAGTACTCTGAAGAGAAAGCATTTGATTCTTAACTGAGATTGACCTGTTTATGCTGTATATAATACCTTCTGTTTCTTGGTAACAGAAAAGATTATTAACAATTATGTAACTGGAATCACGAGGCTATCAATTACATTTTAGTTTCTGTGGTTGGTCTACATAGAGGACGTGGTATTAGAACTTCCATTAAGCACTTGAGAATCAGTAACTGTTAAACCTTTTGAAAATCCTCCTGTAGGAAACGACGATCACTCCCGAACAGATAATCGCCCACGTAATCCAAGAGAGGCAAAAGGAAGAACAGCTGATGGATCCCTTCAGGTAAAACTTATGTGACTCTTTCCATAAATTATTTGAATACAGTAATTTCAGTTTTGAGTTTTACTTTCTTTTTAAACATGTTCAAAGATTTCAAATTTGGGAGCATGTGAAGTATTTTTCCTTCAATTTTATAGTTGTAGGCAGTCTTAGTCCTCTGTGACAAGTATACAAGTAAGAGGATTTCTCTAGAGAAGATGGAGTCTTAGCATTAGGAAGACCTGGGCAACCACTTTAGGATTTTAATACCATTGAGGACCCCCCTCAAATCCCTAAGAAAAGGAACATTCTGAAATGTACTAAAAGACAATAAATGAGTATCGTAGGCCCCTTGTCCCCTGAATTTCAAGACTAGGGTATTCTCCCTGAGTAGAAGTATGGGGAAGCTCTCTCTGCTTGCAACTAATAGTTATGATAGATAGGGCTTATGATGTTCAGGTAGTCTCCAGGCAAATTAACCATTTGTTTTAAGATGGTCTATTCTGAGGATCTCTTCTCAAATGGTCATTATCAGTGGTAAACCCAGTTTTCAAATAATTTTAAAATTACCTCAAGCACATCGGGCATCTTTGCTAAATGCCTCTTGTGTGTTTTATCTTAGTCAATCTTACATCTCACTGAGATAAGTAGTTTTATTATTCTGTTTTATGTGTGAGAAAACTGAAGTCATAGTCCTTTGCCCATATTCACATAGCTAGCATGTTGTGGAGTGATATTCCAACCCTGGTGGCAGATTTAAGAGTTCCCTCTATTGATTGGGTTAGAATCAGCACCCATTATTAGATATAAATGTTAAGAACTTTAAAATATTTCTTATAGTTCATATCACCTCTAAGTAAATTTTAACTATTGGTATTTTCCTAAGGAATAGCATAGAAAAGGCCTTGGACCTAGATTAAAAACTTTGGCAAAATATTACCAGGTATTTCTCTACTAGTTTTGTGCTTCTTCACTTAAACTGACAAGTTTCATGAACTTGACAATATAAACATTGGTTAAAAGTATGCATATTTATAATTATAATGGAGTACTGAATAAAAAATGTTTTCTTTGTGAGAATGCAAATGAATACAAAGCACTGAACCTTTGACAACCAAACATTTAAAACACAGGCCTGAAATTTTAACATACTTTGCAATTGAAGTCATCCATTTGGACACATTTTTAGCTTATACACTTGAAGCACATGAATATTTGTTTTAGGTACACTGGTCAATATCTTTCTTCTATACAGCATCAGGACTTCTGTTAGTAGTTTTCAGAATTAGCACAATATTTTGTAACTTTTAGAATGTTATTCTAAAATTACATTAGTCCTTATACTGTTCTAGGATGCTAGTCCTTCCACAAGTTATCATCTTCAGATTTCCTTCTAACATTCAGTTCTTCACAGTTCAAGTTGTAGGACCATCTGAATTGCCTTACTGAAGCACATGCTACTAGAAAGCAGTAGTCATATGCAATGGGAATTTCAGTGCAGAGAAACTTAATCATACCTATGATAGATATAAAGGTGTAAACTAAAGGCTGTCTAATAAGTGAGTTAGCTGACTTCTTATCCTGGTAAATCCAGAATAGGAAGACATTGTTTTGTGTGTCTCCTCCTGGGTTCCACAGTCTTTGGAGAATAGCCTGTTCTTTTTTAACTCCAGCATTAGCATAGCATGAGGTATGTTTTACACACACACACACACACACACGTGCACTCATACACACACAGTGCTATATACTCTATATAGCATTGTATCTCTCTTCTGGTGTTCAGTAATACTAATTCATTTTAATTAAATGTTTCTCACTGTTTATTCTGTTTAGAAGGAGACATGGTAGTATTGTGAGTTTTTCTCTAACTTTGGATGCAGTGAGATGACCAGTATGCTCCAGTTAAAGAAGAGTGTTTTCAAATCATAAACCAAATAAAGAACCCGCCTTATCTTATTTCTTGCAGTTCTTCTATGCTTATCTCCATTTCCCTTTTGAACATGTGGAATTTACACTTCAGACTTATTTTTCTTGTCAGGCCATTTAAAGATTACAATAGGATATGGTCTATATATAACAACTATAACTTGTTTTAGATCAGAGTTGACTGCAATAATGAAAGGAGTGTCCACACTAAAACATTACAGAATACCTCCAGCGAAGGTAACCGGCTGCGCACGGGTAAAGATCGTAACCAGAAGAAGGAAAAGCCAGACAGCGTGGATGGTCAACAACCACTCGTGAATGGAGTACCCTAAACTGCATAATTCTGAAGTTATATTTCCTATACCGTTTCCGTAATTCTTATTCCATATTAGAAAACTTTGTTAGGCCAAAGACAAATAGTAGGCAAGATGGCACAGGGCATGAAATGAACACAAATTCTGCTAAGAATTTTATTTTATTTTTTGTATTGGCCATAAGCAACAATTTTTCAGATTTGCACAAAAAGGATCTTAAAATTTGAAACATTGCTTTTAAGTATACTTAGCACTTCAGGGCAGGATTTTAGTTTTATTTTTTAAAGTACTAAGCAATGATAATATTTGTTAATTTGGACCATTTTCCTGCATTGGGTGATAACTCACCAGTTCATTTCAGTCTTTCTGAATAAATAGCATTTATGGTAATCAGACTGGACTTCTGTTTTCAATCACATTTAGGAGTCTATGAAATGCTATGTCATTTCATGTCCTGTGTCAGTTTTTGTTTTGGTCCACTTTTCCAGTATTTTTGTGGACCCTGAAATATGTGTGATGTGACATTTGTCATTTTCATTAGCAAAAAAAAAAGTTGTATGATCTGTGCCTTTTTTATATCTTGGCAGGTAGGAATATTATATTTGGATGCAGAGTTCAGGGAAGATAAGTTGGAAACACTAAATGTTAAAGATGTAGCAAACCCTGTCAAACATTAGTACTTTATAGAAGAATGCATGCTTTCCATATTTTTTTCCTTACATAAACATCAGGTTAGGCAGTATAAAGAATAGGACTTGTTTTTGTTTTTGTTTTGTTGCACTGAAGTTTGACAAATAGTGTTATTGAAAGGGATGTGTAATTTTTCTGTATAGACAGGAGAAGAAATAACTATCTTTTCATTTGAGAGAGGCTAAAATGTTTTCAGCTAGGAACAAATCTTCCTGGTCGAAAGTTAGTAGGATATGCCTGCTCTTTGGCCTGATGACCAATTTTAACTCAGAACTTTTTTTATTTTGTCCTCCCTAAGTTTTGTGAAGTTTTTCACATTTTAAGTTCAGGCTTATTTGGGGGAGATAGGAAGGTCATTTTCATGTACACATAATAATCCTGCAAAGTACAGGTACTTTGTCTAAGAAACATTGGAAGCAGGTTAAATGTTTTGTAAACTTTGAGATATAAGGTCTGATGTATAAGCAGAATTGAAAAGCAGACTAGGATTGGTTAGCAAATAATACTTTTTTTTTTTCCTTTTTTGGATGTGTTGGATTTTGTTTTTGTTTTTGAGTCTTTCTTTTTTAAATGAATGAAATATACTGAGGAAAAATATGTGAAGGACCTTCACTCTAAGATGTTATATTTTTCTTAAAAAATAACTCCGAGTAGGGGTACCACTGAAACTGTACAGAGCCGTACAAACCGAAGTTCTGCCTCTGGTGTATTTTGTGAGTTTGTTTCTTTGAATTTTCATTTTTGTTACTTTTCCTTGCATACAAATAAGCATATAAAAATGGCGACAAACTGCACATGATTTCACAAATATTAAAGTCTTTTAAAAAGTATTGCCAAACATTAATGTTGATTTCTAGTTATTTATTCTGGGAATGTATAGTATTTGCAAACAGAAATTGGTACCTTGCACACATCATCTGTAAGCTGTTTGGTTTAAAATACTGTAGATAATTAACCAAGGTAGAATGACCTTGTAATGTAACTGCTCTTGGGCAATATTCTCTGTACATATTAGCGACAACAGATTGGATTTTATGTTGACATTTGTTTGGTTATAGTGCAATATATTTTGTATGCAAGCAGTTTCAATAAAGTTTGATCTTCCTCTGCTAAATTGATGTTGATGCAATCCTTACAAATGATTGCTTTTAAAATTTTAAGATAGGAAAAGAAATCTATAGAAAGTGTTCTGTTACAAAATGTAACTGTTGCCATTGGAAATTTCACATGTCATAGGAAGTTAGCCGTTATCTACCAACTTTCAAGAACTTACTATTGTTTAATAAAGTGAAAAAAAATCAGCAAAATGGTACAAAACACAATGTACCATTACAATATGCACTAAGTCTCTTTTTTACAAAGGCTGAATTCAGCAAGGCGCTAACTTGCTTAAATGTGAATTACTAACTTCTAAAACTGTAATTTGATTCACATGTTTTCAAATGGAGTTGGAGTTGATTCATATTACAATATTTGTGTGCTAAATGTGTATGTTTTTCAGTTTGAAGTCATGATGTTTTTAAAATCTTATTAAAGTTTCAAAACTCTGAAGATTGTTTATCTAGATGTAAATTTTTATTAAAAAGTTGCACTTATGAAAAAGCAAAAATATAGTCTGACAGATGTTTGCTCCTGGTTTTAAATTTCTATAAACCTAAAAAAATATTGATGTCGGGGATATTTATCATGTAAAGCAAATGTGTGATTGCAATTCATCTTTTAGGAATCCTTAACAGGCAAAAATGAAGATACTTGAAAACTCTCCATGTTCTCAGTTATAAAATTTAAATACATCTTATAGGATGCTGCTAAACCATATTAAATACATACTCCTACCTGTGCACCCATAATGATATCCTCCCTTTAGAAAATATTATTTCAGTATAGTTTAAAAATATTTTGATATCAATGTCTTAGTAATAGAATTTAGGTAGAATGTATCTTGGAATTAGCTATTGTGGTCACTTCAAGAAACTCCAGCAAGGTTACAGCCTTAAAAGAGGTACAATTGACAGTTGACAGTATCACCATTCCATCTGCTATTGGAATCCAGAGTGATGCTAGACAAATATCCTTTATTGATGTTTTTGTTTATTTCTGCAGGAGGGGGGTATGCCCCTTTGTTTTCTGCTTTTCAAATTTCCTCTGTGGTACTTTTCTGGTTTTTCTGATTTTGCTTTTGCCTAGCAGGGCACAGTCCGTCTCTAAGGAGTAGGTAGAAATGCCATTAGTAACTTGTTTCGTAGTAGCTTTCAGCCCTACAAAGGAAAAGCCTATTGGCAGCCACTGGCTTGACACTCAACTTGGCTGACTTAGAAGCATTTCTGTCATCTGATCACGATCTTAGAGCTCCTGGTGGTTTTGACTGTAGTGGCTTTTAGAGTCCATACACTGATTCTAATTTCTATTGAACCAGTTTGTCACATGGCCATAAATGGCATTTCCCGTGTAAACCTCAGATTCTTCTGATAACCAGTTATTCTGAAATATTCATTACCAGATGCTAGTCTTGATTGCTCAGAAGGCACAACTGTTGCCAGGATTTAAATCTTGAGCATCTTTTTCTCAGTGTATTTTTCTCGAGCTTTTTTCTCTCAGAATTTTTCACAAAGAAACCAAGAAAATCCTTTTTAAAAATATTTTTAGTTGTATATGAACACAATACTTCTTTTATTTTATTTATTTATGAGGTGCTGAGGATCAAGCCAAGTGCCCCACACATGAGAGACAAGCACTCTACGACTGAGCCACAACCCCAGGCCCCACCGCATCCCATCCCACTTGTCCGCTCTTATTTTAATGTTAAGGAGTTTTATGTTACTGGGAAGGCATGAAAAAACTTTGAAAATTGTACTTGCTAAATGATTAAAGACAAAGCTTCAAATTTGAGTCCTTAAACGTCTTCCAATTTCTGTGTACCGTACACTTGATTACAGGGATAGATTGAAATTGGAAGGAGGGAAGATATAACTGTCAACAAAAGATGGTTACAAGGAATCCTGGGAATTGGGGTTTATTACCATTATTCTGTATCATGCAAAACATGGATGGTTTATGTTGAAAGAACTCATTTGTTCAAATGTAAAGTTATTTTGATAAATATTAAGGCATCTTGGTCATATTTCCATGGAGATCAAGACCTGTAAGATATTGTATGAAAGAATAGTGTACTAATAGTGCTCAAGGTATCTGTCCTTAAAACTTGCCAGTGTAGCACAGATCGCTGCATGACAGGAATGAGAGAAATGAGGAGGTGAATTCCACATTTCTACATCAGGATAAGTCATTTCATCTCTGCAGATTTTAGTTTCTTCTTGGATTAAGGAAAATTAGTGCTGGGGGTACTAACTCCAAAATTGTTCACACATTAACGAAGTGTATGGCTAAAGCTACAAAGTGCTTTAAGTGCTACAAAGCACCGCCTACCTGATTTCATTTGGTTCTCTTAAGTATTTACTAAACTTGCACTATATATGCAGGTACTACAGAAGCTTCTTAGAGATACAAGGATAATAGTACAAGAGCTTGGTGAGTCCATGAGCATTTTCAGTACATAGGAACCAAGATGTACATGGTGAGATGAGCCCACATAGGAGGGACATGACCTAAATTGGGGCCTGGCATGGAGTCATTAAAGGTCTTCCCAAATGAAGTAAAACCTTACCTAAGACTTATACAAAAGGAGTGAGCCTGGGAGCATTGAACTAGGCATGGAAAATCCAGTGTATCCAGAAAGCATCCAAAAGTTCAGTGTGACAAACTTTAAATTTGAGGAAGAGTGGAGATAAGATTGTCAAGAGTGGAGATAGATTGTCAAGGAGGACACAAGGTACCTAGTTAAAGATGCTGGGCTTTAGTGAGTCTTTGAAGAGCTTTACACAATCAGATTTAATTAACAAAAGTGTGGAGAACCCAACAGGAACCCCTACCTAACTGCCCAGTAACCAGCTAGCAGAAGGAGGGTGTACACAAACTGAACTCTGGCTTGGCTAGCTGGAGATTTCAGTGCCTTGGAGTGCAAATCCTGCTTCCCACAGGGTCACAGGTACTAGCAGCTAGGGTTCCCCAAAAAACTCTGCTAACAGTTGGTATCTAAACTCAGACTACTGAGTATGTAAACCTTTATTTGAGTCTCCATGTGCAGTGCTGTTAGGCTTGCTCTTTGGAAAGATAGATGCACAGGGAAGAAATAGTACAGCCCCAAGGTGCAATCAGCAGTGCCCAGGCATTGGCATGGGTGAATAGTATCCTTGTTCCTCTTTCCCTTCTATAATGATATCCTCATTGAAATCTTTTATATGTTTCTCTTTGATGTGCCCTAATTCAGCATCTAAAATCACTGGTGAACATGCTATCACAGTGCTTATTTATAACCATAAGTTCCAAGGGCCTTGGAAAGTTCGTTGTATAAGGAAGGCACTTTGAGACAGTGTGATCCTTTGACACTCCACCCACCCTGTGAGTTCTAAGGAGAAAGAAGTTGGGAGAAAAGAGCCCTTGGCCCCCAAGTGCCATTGGAAAAATTGATGCAACCTAACCTTTAGATTTGAGATGTGTCATACAGTGTCACCTATGACCCTTTGGAGAAAATTGAGGCACAATCTGTGGGGCTTCTGTACACTAACGGAATTGGACTCCCAGCAATGGTCATTAGAGTCCATTGAGGCTTGAATTACTTATATGACAAACAGGTTACCCCCAAGAAATAAGTGAAGCTGAATGGCAAGCATTTGGGGTTTCATGCAGGATTATCTTTTTTTTGCCAAATTAGCTCAGTTGACCACTGGAAAGGGAGCAAATATGACAGCACTGTCTTGCATTAGATGTCCCAGGAAATCTCATTCACAGCCACTAAGAGGAGACTTCCTGGGATGCTGAATGCACAGAAGAACAATGCTACTGAAGTCTGAACTGCTTTGTGACACCTTGACATTTTAATATGATTGTATGAAAATCCTGGGTATCTATAATAACTGCCATCAAGTGATTTTAAATCAGAGAATGCTGGAAAAGTCGATGGGATCTTATATAAAGACATCCCTCACTTTTCTCCCTCTGCCATCCTTTGGAGCTGATTTATACTTCCCCCCAAAAGGAACAGTGAGATATGGGGCCCTGTGAATGTGGCTCACATCTCAGCAAAAATGAAAAGGTAGGGAAGGAGCACCATTTTAGTTTTCCTTCTGAGATTTTCTCAGGCAGTACATTATGGTTCTGGGTCTTTTAAAGGGATTATTAAATACAAAGGTAGTAAAAAGAGAGAGGCTGATAAGCAACCCAAGTAACTCAGGAGATTCTAGGGAGAGTACATGGGTTCAGTAGATAAAAATGGCTGATTTTTAGGGCAGGAATTAATGAATCCCTGAAAGATCAAGAGTAAATTCAAGGAGATCCTGGTGGGAGAGTTTCTTTTGGAGGGGGATGCCATTAACTCTCCGCACTGCTTCACCATATAATTTTTGGATTATTTTTCTGTGTGGAATGTCATTGTTATTTTGATAGGTATTGCATACTAGTCCAAAATAAGGCTGGGGTAGGGAGAGGGGATTCCATCAAAATAGAAGATAGATGGGTGGACTAGATGAAGGTGATTGAGGGAGAGGGGAAAATGATGGAATTAGTGAAGACTTTGGAATGAGTCCGACCTAACTTTCCTACATACATTTATGAATGTGCCACAGTGAATCTCACCTTTATTATATCTACAAGACAAAACCTATAAAAGAAAAAGAACTAGATAGCAGAAAGATCAGTAGAATAGAGGGAAGGGAACAGGAGGGGTGAGGGTAGAGAAAGGGGAAGTACTGGGGACTGAATTAAAACAAATTATTTTCCATCCTTTTATAATTTTGTCAAAATGAACCCCAATGTTGATTGAAAAGAACCAATAAAAGTGAGCAAAAGACATGAATAGATATTTCTCAAAAGAAGGTATACAAATGGACAACACTCATGAAAAAAAAAATGCTTATCATCCCTAAACATCAGGGAAATGCGAATCAGAACTACAAGGAGATTTCACCTAACCTCAGTTAGAATGGCTGTTTTCAAAAAGATATCAAGTGTTTGCAGGGATTATTTGGAGAAAAGGTAGCCCTTAGAAACAATGAGACTAAATGAGTACAGTCATTATGGAGTTTCCTCAGAGATCTCAGTCCATAGATGGCTGACTCAATTCCTCAAGGCTTGAAGTAAGGAAGAACATCATGGCAGAAGAGTGTGTTTTAGGAAAGCAGCTCAGAAAATAATGACCAAGAACCAGAAAAACTAAGCTAAGCTCACAAAATATATACCCCAAAGGCACTCCCTCAATGACCCACCTCCTCTAGCCACACCCTACCTGCCTTTGGTTACCACTTAGTTAATTACCATTTTGGATTAATTCACTGATTGGGTTAAGACTTTCATAACCCAATCATTTCACCTATAAATGTACTTGCATTGTCTAACACATCAGCTTTTTGCGGGGGTCGGGGCAACAGCTGGGGGAGGTGATTACTGGCAATACCAAATTTGGCCTGAAATACAGGCCTGACAAACCCAACATTGCA